CCCCTATCAAAAAGAAAAGGCTCTAATATTACATATGTCATATGTCATTTCATCTAAATATGCATCACAGGACCACATTTTGCATTTTCAGGCTTCACTATATATATTAAAACGTGTTGATTCCTTTTTAAGGAGTTGAATACAATAATTAACAAAGTTTTGGAAGTGGAGCAATCAGTTCTTGTCTGTGACCTCATAGCACGTCTACGTCTGGAATGGGAGATGAGTCTGATTCGTCGATTGAGGACATCTAGGATGAATTTGCGTAGAATGCAGAGTGCTTAACCTAAAAGGAGATGCTCCTGCACATCCCTGTTAACTTAAATCTTCCTCTCACGTCTCCCTTGGCAGGCTTCCTAGGAGCCAAAGTCTGTCTTTATTAACTTTTATCTGCCACCCTTGTTCTAGGACCATTTTCTACTCAGCCCTACTCTTCTTTTTCCTGCCCCAGCATGATAATGACACCCATGGTCTCTAAATAAGAAATCATATTCTCAAACCCTAAAGGGTAACTGCTGCCTCAAACCCATGAGCATCCAAACTAGAGAAGGAAGAAAGCAGATTCCAAGACGCCTGGATTTACTTAGATCAGAGCTCCTCGGTGGAGACAAGCCCTCAAGCCTGTTCAGTGGGCATGGGGTTATGTCAGTAACAAGAGAATGCCAAATTGAAGGGAATGACATTTAGGACCTTTTGAAATTGTCTGTAATTATGCGTGTGGAAATGGCTCATGGCTTCATGGAGAGTGGTCCATTTCTGTTGAGTAAAATTAAAATATACCACTCCTTTGGGTGAACTTCCTTCTTATCTTTGTTCCTGATTGTCAGGCTGCTAATCACATACGTGTATGTCATGGGATGTCTTCTAGATTTACTTTATGTAGTTCTTAGCTGGTTATTTGATTAAAACACCCTTTCCACTAGATCTCTCAGTCACTACTGTTGCAACTCTAGTCCAAGGTCTTGTTATTTTTTGCCCGAGCTATAGCCATAGCCTTGTTCCTGATTTCCCTGTTTTCTCTTTTGCCCATTCACAAGAAGCAGAGCAGTCTTTTTTAAAAACATAAATCAGATCACATCATATTCATGCTTAAAGTCTTCCCAGATAACCCTTTGCACTTGGAATAAATCCAAACCCTCATCTTGTCTACAACCCTAACACAACGTGGTTGCTTCTCGTGTCTACTCTCCCTAACTCACTGCGCCTCAGTCACACTAGCCTTCTCTTTCCCTTCCATTTATTTTTCACTTTCAGAAAAGGGAGTCACCTGTTGGACTTCCTTGTTCTGAAAGTCGTAACTACATGATTTCTTTTCTCATTTATGGAGCTGTTTTAAAGGAATTATAATCAGCCTTAGGTTCCTTCGTTATTGTTTCCACTCTGTAGACTCAAGAATTACAGAATCTTGTTAGATAGTATTTTCCCAGGCTGAATCGAGGGAAACTACAACTGCCCCACACCTGCTCTTCTGGAAAGTTACTGTATGTCCTCTAATGGAAAAGTACAGCAGATCTCTTTTATACACACGGAGCTAGCATAGTCAATGGTTCTTATAGCCTATGAAATATACAGTAAAATATATAGTGCCTGACCCTCCCCAGTTTGTCGTGCCAGCTTCAAGTACCCCATTACCTAGCTAGCCAGAGAACACTTACTTATTATATTTTTATAGTTCATAAATCATATTCAAAGTGAAATATCAGTTTATTGTGTTCTTTTCATTTTCATGGGTAAGTGGGGTCATTTATTCCTTTATAGTCCCAGTGGATTTACTTATTCAGTTTTCATTTACATCTTTAAACCTTGTTTTTGCTCTGGTTATCTCCTAATTCTTTCTTAGCAGCTAGTCAGCCTAAATAGTCCTGAATTGACCAGCTATTTTCTGTTCTCTTCTTGTTATTTTATCTGTACTAAATAATTGAGAAGATAAGAAAGGAACCATCTGGATTTGTGTTTTATATATGCTATATGTCTAACAGTTTTTCTTCCAGGCCCAGTAAGCAGTGGTATGTGAACCCACGTTCACTACTCCATCTCCATGTTTCTCCAAGTTACCATATCCATCCAGGAAAACAGAACTATAGCTAAGGATATATCACTGCACCATTCCTTTTGCTCTCCTGACGGTTGTTACTCAGTGTAACAACTGAGTAACAAGACAGTTGTTGAGTGTATGTTACATTATCCCACAGAGCAGTGGATAATTCTCCAGTGTCCCATGGCAGACCCCCCCCATTTCATGCTCTTTACAAGCAGTAGGGGAAGGGTGGTCTACTACCATGGAAATTTGCCCATTACCACTCCAGAGATTACCCCTCTCTAGACACATGAAAGAAAATAGTGACTTTGGAAGATCCTTATCCCTTGAGATTTCATGTTTCATTGTGTTTTAAGTTAAATAACACTACATGTGCTTCCTTTAACAGTATCTTTGGTTTATATTATAGTATATCATCAGCCTTGATAAACTGGGTATTTAATGAACTGGAAATGAGACATTGTTTTAAATCTGTTCTTTTAGCTGTAACTGTGAGTTAAGTATTGATGGGATACTGGAAAGTCAGTTACAACTTTCCCTGTGAAGCCGTAATGCTAACAGTTGAAGCATATTTATATTTCTAGAGCCTTTCTTTGAACCCTAAGTATTTTATAGATATTAACTAATCCTAGAAAATTCCCTATACATAAAAAGATAGTATCTCCTTTTTTTAGGGGGGTATTAATGCCCACACTGCTTAAGTGAGTTGCCCAAGGTCACTCAGTGAGTTGTTGGTGAAGACAGAAATAGAATCCAAGTCTCCTGACTCCCAATTCAGTTCTCTATCCTCGATATAGTTTTCTATCCTCTATATACCCCTGCTGCCTCTCATGGGAAAAGAAGTTAATCTTCCAGCTATTAATAGCCACCAAATTGGTGGTAGCAGCACAGTGGAGAAAAGTAACTGTCTTTATACTGCAGCATTAGTATAAAAATATCTGGTAATGGAAAATTTGACAAATGTCATGTTAAAGGGAGTGGAAAATTATTTTAAGATCTGGATCTCATTTATCTAGTTCTCAGAAAAGTAAAATTTCTTAGTAGAACAGGGATCATATTTTTCTTCCTGTTTTTAAATTGTATTTCCTAGAGGGTAATTGTCAACCTAGCCATAGCAGAGCCTATTGTCAACTAACTTAAGAATAATGCGTGTACTGTTGGTGATTGTTATATTTTCTAACTTGGTTGAAAGTTTGAATTTGCTTTATTGAAATATATACACTTATTTTATTCAGCTTTCAGTGTTAATATTATACAATAAAGCAAATATAACAGCAGTTGGGAATTTTACTGCATGATTTAAAAATATGGGAAGAAATAGACATTATAGTTTCTTCCCTGGACAACACACTACAAAGTGACTTCATGTGGCACCATGAAGTTCACCAGAATGAAATAGGCAGAGCAGAAAAAATAGTTAATTAAGAAATATAAGCACACTACATCTGATCAATTTTGTTATTATGTATGTAACCAAGTCATTACTTTGTACATTAAAAAAACGGTGCTTGAGAGTGTTTATGTACTTAAATATTAAAGCATTTCTAGTATGGTGGGAATTCACACTTAAGTTCACACAAAACTATTTGCTTTTTAATTTTGGACCAACAAAGAAGAATTCTAAAAATCTCTGGATATTATGTTTCTGTTTAAAGATTACTGTAAGTGTTGAATTAGAAGAATGACATGATCAGAATTATGTTTTAACTGTGTAAGTGTAAGAGAGGCAGGATTGGTGGAAGTTGGAAAATGCAAGGAAAAGGTAAAAATAAATAAATAAATCGCTTGTTATTTGAGACTCAGGTGACTGAGAAGGTAGTGGCAAGAGGATAATTAGAAATAAGAGAGTGTAGGATGAGAAAGCTAGAGGGTCAGGTACAGATCCCCGGGGAAATGTATACATTTACTGGATAGAGGAAGCAGAAGGTAGCAGATGCTAGAGAGGTAGAAGGGAAATCGCTTTGAAAAGCTACAGAAGTTGTAGGATTAGGGGCTAAGAAAAGTTTATTTAACAGTGATTTTCTGACATTGGGGGCCTTGCTTTTACAGAGAGATAAGGGTCAAGTAAGAGTACCCTGAACTCTTCAAATTAGGTTTATTTATCTTTGGTATTAATCTAATTTTTGTAAGCCTATGAATTACGTATGATACAGGAAACAACCCAACAGACTGCATAATTAACTACTACAAGGCCAAGTGACAGATGCAGTCCTTTTATTCCCCTTGGATTTTATTGGTTATTGCCATTCTTCTTACTTTGGAATAGACGTGCACTCCATTAGTAATAAGCATGATATTTTACAGAACAGTTACCAATCTCTGTGCCTACAAATGTTGAAAACTTTTGTTATCGTAAACCTAAGTCAAACATGACAGCTGACAATTCCTTGTGAATTTTATTGAAATTAGTTAGAAATCTGTTTTCATGATTACTCAATATCTCAAGAGAGCTATATTTATAAATTAATGTTAGCCATTTATTATTTATTTTCTGTAATAGAATCTCTTTATAGAGTTTTTTCCTTCCAACTTAGTTATTTTACATTTTTATCATTTGACAGAAAATGTACTTTATTATTGGTGTTTTTTGTTTGTTTCTTTGTTTTTGTTTGTTGTTAATCCTCACCTGAGAATATTTTTTCCATTGATTTTTAGAGAAAGTGGTGGGGGGGATCAATTGGTTGTCTCCCATACTCACCCTGACCAGGAATCAAGGCCAAAACCTTTTGGTGGACAGGACAACACTCAACCATCAGAGCCACCCAGCCAGAGCTCAGTGTTTTGTTTTGTTTTTTAGCTGATAGGATTATTGGAAAACTATTTACACAATGCAATATACAGATCATGTATCATAGAAATGTGCACTTGAAACTTATATAATCTTATTAACCAATGTCATCCCAATAAATTTAAAGAAAATATTTAGGCAACATTATTGACCTTTTTAATTTTGTCCGAACAGGCACATCTTCAAGTGAATCTAATCTGCTTAACGTTCCTTCACAAAAAAGAACTCGAAGAAAACTAATGTCTTCTCCCTTGAAAACATTACAGACCCAAAAGTCTGCACTTACTGAAAGTGTACAGCTCAATGATTCTTTCAGCAAAGAACTTCAGCCTATTGTGTATACCCCAGAAGACTGTAGAAAAACTTTGCAGAATCTACCTACAGTGACCCTATTAAAACCAGCGTCTTGTATTACGAGTTTTCAGGCCATCGGCTCAAATATAAACAGTGATAATTCTCTGAAAATGTCATGTGAAGGTGATCTCCCTGTCAGCAGGAGGAAAGAGTATAGACAGGAGGATTTGAACTCTACATATACTATGTGTGAAGACACCAGGAGATTGAACTATAAATTACCGGAGCAGCAATCAGTATCAAACAATAACATTGTACAAAGGTACAGAAAAAGAGTACTTGTCAACTTTTGTTCTTTTTTTTTGTAGCCTTTAAACTATTAGCTTTCTTTTTTTTCTTTAGCTATATTTGAAATGTATTTCGTAGATCAGTTTTAAAGTCTTTAATTTGATATCTTAAGTTGATTGACCCTTATTAGACTAGAACAGGCCTTAAGATATATTTAGTTTGTTCTTTATACTGATGTCAGATGCTACAAGCCATCAGTGGAAGGTTACCATGTTGAAGATTATTCACTAATATCTTCAATGAAGGAAGTGTCACAGTTTCTGTTGATGTTTAGCAAACCTCAACTTATTCTGGAATAGTCTTACATTTAAGGTATGGTTGACTACATGTCATCCAAGCAGACATATCCTTCTCATTTCATCTGTATTATCACAACCAATCAAAATATGGGAAGGATGATACCTTCACCTTCCTATGCTGTTCGGAATGCAGAAATCTCTTCATAGCCACTCTGTCTGTGGTGTAAAAATGAGAAAAGAAAATCCCAGGGTAAGCAAGGGAAGTTTAATTGTATGATGTTTTTCTTTATATATTAATAGGTAATGATATTCTAATTATGTGAGTGTATATAGCTCCACTTCCTAGCACAAATCAAAATTGCGCTTTGTTTTTTATTATTTGATAAACAGGCTTGCCCCTTCCTCATTCGCAGCTGAACATCCTCTGCCTGTACGAAGCATGGTGCCATCCTACATGGCGATGACCGCTGCTGCCAAAAGGAAACGGAAATTCACAAGGTACGATTAAACATGGACCAGCTCAGTCTTCATACTTATATAAGCTCATCTTTGTACTTTGTTTCCTGCAGTTCTTTTTTATTTCTTATAATTAAACTGTCCATATTTAAAAATACGTATAATAAATTGCTCTGAATGCAACACTGGGTTTATATTATCAAAGGGAGAGCTTGATAAAGCCCAAGTATTTCACTTGACATTTGCATAAAGTATTCCATGTTTCAGATTATTAAAAATAAATTTAAAAAGTCTTCTGGCCTTCAAAAATGTCATTTAATTTTAACTTTTCTTTTGGTGACAATTTTTATTCATTTGGTATTTTTCCATTTAGACATTACTGAATTTCTTCACTCCTAAAAGTATATAATTTTAATGGATTTTAATATATGACTAAAATGTAATGAGTAAAGAAACTTCTGTTTCTGGCTATGACACTGTAACTTGTATCAGACCAAGCTACCCATCAAAAAAAAATTATGAAAGTTGATAAAATATAACTAGCAGCTGCTTAAAGGCACTGAAGAACCACCAAGGCAGGCAGGATTGAAGGGGCTAGTATAAATACATTTACAAATATCCTGTTGATCTGTCCCCCATAAAGTATCATCTCATGGGTACATTTAGGATCTGCCCTTTCTCCTCCAACCAAAGTACAGCACAGCTTTGGAATGTGTACATTAAAAATTCATGGATTGGTTTTTTTCTGAATGTCTCTGACTATCCAAGACATTTAAAGTTTTGTATTTTGCTGTGGCACAAATTCTAATTGTGCAATTTGTCTGGCTCATGTATGGGAATCAGTCACCATCATCTGCGTCATCCATCTCATACTAACTTTCATTGTGTCGATTTTGTTATTTCAGTTAATTAATGTTGGTGACTTCTGGTTCTTCACTGGTCTCATTCTCTGTTATGTGGACTGAGATATGGCAAAAGTTTATAGCTAAGATTAATTTTAAGCTGTAAACGTAGTCATTATCAAAATCAAATGGCCAGGTATATAAATGTGTACTTGGAGTGGTTTTAGGTGGGTTACCAGGCTTCCACATGAGCACCTAATATTGTAAAATAATATTAAAGGACACATAAAGAAAGTAAGATTTCTCATAGCTTATTAATTGCTCTATTACATTCCCTCTGGTACCAATAATTAGATCCTGCCATTAACTATGGTTAAAAGAGATTAATGTTAGAAATGTACATAATTACTTTTTTTAATCTTCCTTTTTCCCAATTAAATCTACATGGGCTTGAAAGTAATAAACTCTGGTATTTTCCACTTAGCAGCTTTACGTACATGTTTAGGTGTGTTTATATTCTAATATGGTTTTAAAAGTGAAGAAGGAGAGGCTTCGTGTATGGAGTTATTTTATTTTTGTATAACTTTTTCTCTCTAAAAAAAGTAAAATGTTACAGTCCAAAAGCACTAGATATTCAAAAAATATCTACTGACCTGGAGCTTTTAGTTACCAGTTAAATTGAGAATATTAGATGTTTAATCATTTCAATTTATTTAATACCATGGTAGCAGACTGTTTTAATTAAATCAGTCTCCCAAAGATAAATAATATATATATATATATATATATACATGTAAAATTTTACTTATAAGTTATATTAGAGTTGTGGGGTTTTGTTTATTTGTGTTTATTTGATTGGTTGGTGGTTGTTTTTTTGTTTCACATACTTTCTTAGCATCCAGAAATGGTCTTACACCTTGCCATGCATATTTGGTTTATTTTGAAAGATGTCTAATGATTTCAACTAGAAATTATCTCAACTGAAAGAATGTGAGATGCACTGTGTCAGTTACGCAGTAGCATGCTTCCTACGTGAGGGAACAAAAAGTTAGATCCTTTTTTTTTTAATTTTTCATCCTTCCCTGAGGACATGTGATTGTTTTTTAGAGAGAGGGGAAGGAGGAGAGAGAAAGACATGGATCGGTTGCCTCCCACACGAGCCGTAGTGGGGATTGGGGATCAAACCCACAACCTAGGTCTGCACCCTGACTGGGAATGAGACCTGCCACCTTCCCATGTAGGGATGACACTCTAAGCAGCTGAGCCACACTGGCCGAGAGCCCTAACGTTCTTTAATAGTTGTGGAAATAAATTAGGTGCACAACTAGAAGAGTCTTCTGCTTTCTTCTCAATATAGCCTTTAACATAATTTGAGTTTGGAATCATACCAATTTTAGTTTTTTGTGTTTTTTTTCCTTTTTATGATCTAACAAAAGTATAACATAAATGTTAAACATTTCATGAGTGGACTATTTTATCTAAATCTTTAAAATCTTGTAGTGTATTTTACTTATACATAAATATACAACTTACTTTATTTGACTTTGATTTCATTCCTAGAAATCTGAGTTTTATTCAAATACATTTATTCAAAACCTTAACTTTTTAAGTAAAAATCTGTCAGTAAAAACAAAAGTCCTAAAACTAACCAAAGTAAAGAATCATACCATAAAATAATAAAGACAATTTTAAGGAAAAACAACTTATCGAAATTAACCAATGACATTGACTTTTATACTTGAAGAAATCAAATCACAAAATCACCAAAAAAAGAATTTTTGCCTTAGACAACTGATACACATATCAGAAAAGTGTGTTTAACATTTTTACAAAATTATATTAACCTAGTTTTTTTAACACCATTTAAGAATAGAGTATTTCTGCAACTGAATTTGCTTACTTTCGTAACACTAGTACTTCTTTGTAACCATTTTGGGGGGTGTCACTTGCATTCCTGAACAGGGTCGTCTCTTACAGGCCAACCACTGTACCTCACTTGGCCTGTAAGAGACGATTACAGTGTTCCTAACAGAGTCACAGTGTGCTCGTGCCTATTTTATGTTTTTTGCTGTCATATTAAATTGCCAATTCTGACTACTTTAAATGAGCATACAACTAACCTGTCTTCTCCCCATTCCATAAACATACTCCCTCATCAGTTCACCACATGGTTAGGACTGACCAAAGAGCAAGTTGTTGCCATAAAAGGGAAGCCTCCAATTGTTAATCTAACTGACTATCAAATTAGTATCAGTTTTTAAAATACTGTATGTCTTTATTAGGCAGAAATTCCGTAAAATTCGCCTATTTGAATTAGTGTGGAGAGGTTAGGTTTGTTCCCTGCTGGACCCCCAACCAACGCTACCTTTTTGAAACTGGATCCTCCTCGCAGCTTCTAAGATGTGGGCTGCTCTTTTCCCACCCAGATCAAACTCATCTCTTCCACAAAACACTTGGTGTTTCTTTCTTCTTCTAAACTCAGGAATCTATAGCTCCTTAGAGCTTGAAATCCTGTGGCACTGTTTTTTACCCTATCTTGTATTATTTTATGTATCTAATTTTTTTCCCCTCCCCACCATATATGCAGAAGTTTTCAGGACAGGAGTTGTTTGTGCCTTACTTGTTTGTATGTCCTGTAACATGAGGCCATAGTAAGTGTTTAATATGTCGATTCAAATCGAGTTAGAAATGTAACCCATTAATAATGTGAGATATAAATTTTTGAAGATTAAACAAATGAAAGTAGCTCATTCTTTCCATTTCAGTTTCTATAATTGCAATAATCAGAGAGACTCAGTCTATTACAGTGTTTTGATTTAAAAACAAGGTTTCCAAACAATCTTGCTTATTTATATTCCCCAGGTTAGGGTTCTTACTCCAGATTTGTAATGTGAGCCTGGTTTTCCACCTCTTGCAGTGTGCTCCTTCCCACTACACTTTGGATAACAGTGCTTCCTTGTATTTCAGCTTTGCACCCTGGAAGTGTTCTGTTCACATAATTGTTGCATGCACCTACAATCAAAATCTCTGATTCGAGTAAATATTATTAAAATCACACAGAACTAAATTTCCCTATGGGGCAAAAATGTATTTAGTACCTTCAGTTACTTCAAAGGGATTTGCAACTTAATAATTTAGTATTTCACTTTTTCTTTAGTCTTTATTGCATGTAGAATATGTATTAAAACTTAGAAATATAAAACATGCTTCACTAAAATAAAAAATTTTCTCTCAAGTTCTGCATCAAGTACTTTGTTAACTGCGGAGGAAAATTCTGGGTTTGCCAAACGTGTTCGACAAGATAATCCAAGCGATAAGCACTTACAAGAAAACAGACCAGCAGTGGGTATGTCTGAGCTCTTACTTTCATATTTAATAACATAATTGCCTAACACATGTATAGTACTTTACATTTTTATAGTGTATTCGTAAGAATCTCCTTTTATCTACCCATCACTGTTATTACATGGTAAGTGTGATTATCCATGTTACAGATAAGAAAACTTAAGACACAAAATAGAAGACACTCCCCTAAGGCCACACAGGTACTCCATGGTGGAGCAGAGCTCAGAACTGGGTCCCTGACACTATATTCAGCACTTGTGTTATCTACACTGCTTTACATGGCAGAAGAATTGGTAAACAATTTAACTAATCAGTGAAAAAATTAGCTAAATGTATTGTTTAATTGGTTAGTGATTAAATATATTTTAGAGATAAACTGTATCTACTTGAAATTTTTCCATTAGCCTATTATTGTTAATAACCTGGCCTCTGACTCATTTGTGCAATTACAGCCATGCTCCAGTGTGTACCTAGTTACAGTCATATTGTGACTCTCATCAGCAAGTTGAAAGAGATGCTGATGGGGATGAATACATCCTCTCAATAACATACCAGGGGCGATGGGAGTCCATGTCAACAAAACCACGTCTTCGGTAAAACTAGAGGTAGAGAGTGCCCGTCAGTTTCTAGTCCTTTTATCCAGACTTCCGTTTCTCTGGCGCTATACTTCCTAAGACTTCATTCAGGAGTATTTATTTACTACACACTATGTGCTAGGTTCTGCGATGAGCACAATAATCATTAAGGCCCAGTTTGGTTTCCTCTCTAAAGGAATTTAACATCCTAGCACATGGAATTTAAAAGGGTTTCATGAGATAACAAGTGTTTCTAAGAAAACATGGAAACCATTGTTACTTTTTTCTGTCAGTGCTCTTTCATCACAGTAATATAAAATTTCTCGGTAGCTTTCCCAAACTGTATTGATAAATCCTTACTTCTTGTGGTAGCCAGTGGCAGTTGTTCATGTTAAGTTCAATGGGAGTACCTTTTATGCCAATTTAAAACTCCATGAAGTCCTGAAAAGTAAAACTTACTATGATTATTAGGTTTGTCCTGCCTCATTTAATAATGCTTAACAATGTGTACGTGCAGTTGGTGTAGACAGGGACTGCCCCACGGGTCTCCTGAAACACCTCTCCAGGAGGTCATAATTCTTTAACAAAATAATACGTTTATGGTAATTGTCAAAGAATAGAGATTTGGGTTTTCTAATGTGCTTATTTTCTAATAGTATAAAATGCATCAAATATCCCATGTGTAAAAAGACATGAATTTAAAAAAAAAAACTCTAGAGAAAAAAGTAGATGACACTAAACTACAGTGCTTGCCAAAGAAGAAAGGAGAGCTAAAGCTGGGTTAAAAGATTGTGTTGTTAAAGGTAATGGTGCACTGAGAAAGAAAGAGGTTAATTTAGGGAAGGTAATAGTTTGGGGTACATTAAGATATCCAAGTGAAACCTGACTACACATCAGGAATTACTGGAAAAGTAAGAGAACTGGGACCGGCTTCCTTAGAATGTATTCAACTGAGTTCTCTAACTAAGAGTGTACAAATAAAAAAACAAAGGAGCATAAGTGGGAAAGCAGGTAACTGCTGTTTACTGAGCAGTTAGAGAAATAAGAGTGTCAAGAGAGTTTGTGCCCCTAAAATTAAAACTTAATGTGACCAAGAAAATGGGTAAGAAATTAGACTTGTCCCTAAAAAAGTCAGTGGTGCCCTATTGTGACCTTCTGTTGAGCAGAGAATCTTTGAGGAGGCTGATGAGGAACCAGAAGGCTGGGCAGAGACAGAACACATTTGAGAGTTGGCGGGGAAAGGGCTATGGGATCAGGATTAGCACGTCAGGAAGTACTGCATTCAGATGATACTTCTAAACTGGAAAAATGTGGAAGTGTAAAAGCCCTAGGAAAGCAATCCGAACAATGAGAATCAAATTCCTAATGCAAAAAAGGAAAGGAACACACTTGTAGAACTAGTCTTTCATTAGTTCAAGAAGGACAAAGGTTAGCCTGTGTGTGTGTGCATTCCCACATGCACTACAACTTGTTTCCAGTGTGAAGAAAGGATTTCTAAAAGTGGAATGAATGGTGAATTTTCTCTTTGAATGATGCTTTTATCATATGTATAAATTTTCTTATTTCTTCCCTAGAATATAAAAGAAACATCCATAAAGTAAAGCCAAACATGGTCAGAAAGTTTGGAAGAAGCATTTCAAAAGGAAATCTAAGATAAGTCACTTCAGAATCAAGAGACAGTAAATGGACGGCTGCTTTTAAAGGGTTTGTTGCCAGCGCCCTTGCGGAAACTTACTTCAAATTTTTAAAGAAGACCATCTTACACAAGGTTTACCAAAATAGCTTCAACAAACAGAAAGTGAAATTCTTCCACTTTTTTGTATTATAGGCAAATAAAATTTTTAACAGGAAAGGTTATGTTTTAAGTTTCTAAAATATTTGCTAACTTTTAAAATCCCTAAGTCAATGTGGTGGTAGCTCATTTTTGCTATTCTGCAACAGGCTGATTAGAATATTTTAGAAAACAATAGTGAGTTAAATTATCCTTACTGTTTTTTGAAAATAAGGAGAATTCAGAAGTGATAAAATTATGGTCTAGGATGTATTTGGTCTTACATTATTTTAATCATACATGTGACTTTTCTTTGCAAAAATATGTTGATGTGTAAATGTACATATATGTTCCCATAAAGTTGTAAATATTATTTAAGTAGTCTTCATGAATAAAATACTAATATTGTTCCATGCTACTTGGTATATTAAAGTCGCAGCTTTTATAACATTTGCTTTTGTGTCTCCTTACTACCCCTTACACACTTTGAACTATTTTATATAAAATGTGAATTTTGTAGATTTGTATTTCAGATTAGATCAAGATATATGGCACTATATAACCAAGTCTGAAAATAATTCATTAATGTCCTTAATGATAATGAGAAAATGTTTTAATTAGTCCTTCTACTATAGGAAGTACACAGAGTTACAGCTTAATTATATATCCCTGTTCACCTGCCTTGCTTGGCCTGTTTATCTTCTGAATACAGCAAATATTTGGTTAAACGCACTTTTAATTTTATGTGGCCTAGGACTGTCCCATCAAAGCAACATTCAGCCCAGCTGCTGGGGCTCAGTGGTTGAGCATCGACCTAGCATCCAGGAGATCAGGGTTTGATTCTGGGTCAGGGCACATGCCAGGGTTGCGGGCTCAATCGGTGACTCTCTTATCATTGATGTTTCTCTCTCTCTTCCTCTCCCTTCTCTGTCTAAAAAAAAAAAATCAATAAAAACTTTTTTAAAAAAGCAACATTCAAAGGTTTTACTCCAAAAATGTTAATGTCTAATTACCAGGCACTGCCCTAGACCCCCACTGTCGGTGATAAATAAGAACAGTGTAGCCCTGGCGGTGGTGGGCATAGTGGTCAGAGCGCCGGCCTGCAGACCGATGGCCCTGGGTCTGATTCCAGCTAAGGGCACGCACCTCAGTTACAGGCTCGATCCCCGGCCCCGGTCGGGGCACATACGGGAGGCGACCAGTCCATGTGCCTCTCTCACACTAATGTCTCTCTCTCTCTCCCTCTCTCAGAAACCAATGGAAAAATATCCTCAGGTGAGGATTCAAAATAAAAAAGCAGCGCATGCACTAGGCTGCCTCTCTGCACCAAGACTCACGAGTCTTTCAGGCGATGGTCCATGGACAACATGTATTATTTTTTACTTAGCAATGAAGACGACTTAGAAAAGTTAAGTAATATGTCGACAGCCTCACAGCCAGACAGTGGCAGAGGGGACTCTGTGCTAAGGTTGGTATAAAGAGTTGGTTATTCCTGTGCCACACGTGCTCATGGATAAAGGTACAAAAGCATCCGCCCCCGGTCCCCTGCCATTTGCCAATTTAATGGTGAAAAGATTGATTCCATGCACCTTATAATGGTAAGTAAATTATATTTAGCTCCTACTGATTATCGAAAAGCAGTTTACATTCTTATTAGTAGAGTGTTACTAATAAAAGTATTTAGTATCGCTGAAGGTACTTAGAGTCCTACGGGTTGCTTTTTCAAGGGCTGTTTTGTGTCTTTTACAATTACACTATCACATTACTTGCTGCACATTCACAACTCGCTTGTAAGTTGTTGGCAACTACTCAAGACATGCTACAGAATCACTGGCTTATATTTTAATCTTTTTGTGTTAAGAGTCCATATTCACAACCTAAAGACACAACTTGGACACTAAGACAAATATAATCTTGTGTGTCAGGAATCAGCACAGGACATTTGTTTTTGAAATATATCTGTAGAGTGCTAAGTCCTTTCTCTCCTGTCACTTCCCCTAAAAGGCGGTAGTTGGCAGGTAGTCCATACTTCTCAGAGTGAGCGTCATTTAACAAACCACCAAAGCCTTGCAAATGGCAAGTTCTGCGTAACAGCCACTGTAGGGACCAGTCCATCAAGTTAAGAGCTGTCAGGAAAGGTTGGTTCTGAGATATTTCTGTCACGTGTGTGTGTGTGTACCTAAAGCATATTATGTGAGACAGAATAAGCCAGGAGTCAATTTTTTTTTAAAAAAGTTCATTCTCATACTCCCAAACAGATGGAAGATGAAAGATGTCTGTTTGGTGTAATTAAGAAGATTAGTAGCATGACAGGAAAACAGTTCTATGATCAGGACTTTGGGCAAAAATACTATGTCCTCAGCCCCATTTCTCACCCCAGCAGAATCTTCTGTCTGCAAACTACTTCTCAAATATGAAATGTTAGGAATACTTTCTAATACTACCAACCTCTGCACACTTTCCCTTTCCCATTCTTTATTCATGCGGCTATTTCAGAATCACAGTATTTTTTAAAATTATTATTTCCTCCTGTTCTTCCCCAAAACAATTATCATTGTAGGTTCTCAACTCCCACCCCAATTATTATTCAGTTGAAAACGGTACTTGAAAATGTTCTTTCATTCCAACTACATTGCTCCCCTGAATTCATTTCAAATCAAAGCAAAAGAAACTATCAACAAAATGAAAAGAGAACATATATGCCAATGATGCATCTGTAAGGGGTTAATTTCCAAAATATATAAAAAACTTATACAACTCAACACCAGGAAGACAGACAATCCAATTAAAAAATGGGCAAAGGACCTGAATAGACGCTCCTCCAAGAAAGACATACGGATGGCCAATAGACATGAAAAAATGATTAACATCACTAATCAGAGAGATGCAAATTAAAACCACAATGAGATATCACCTCACACCTGCCAAAATGGCTATCAAGTCAACAAACAAGTGCTGGCGAGGGTGTGGAGAAAAAGGAACCCTTGTGCACTGCTGGTGGGAATGCAGACTGGGGCAGCCACTGTGGAAAACAGTGTGGAGTCTCTAAAAATTAAAAATGGAACTGCCCTTTGGACCCAGCCACCCCACTCCTGGAAATATGTCCAAAGGATCCCGAAGCACCAATCAGAAAGAATCTATGCAGCCCTATGTTCATAGCCATGCTATTTACAAGAGCCAAGATCTGGAAACAGCCCAAATTTCATCAGTAGCTGAGTGGGTAAAAAAGCTGTGGCACATTTACACCATGGAATACTACGCAGCTGTAAAGAAGGATCTTGTACCCTTTGGGACAGTATGGAAGGACCTGGAGATTATTTTGACAAGTGAAATAAGCCAGGCAGAGAAAGACAAATACCATATGATCACTTATATGTGGAATCTAATGACCAAAATAAGCAAAATAGAAACAGACTCATAGATACAGAGAACAGACTAATGAACAAAATAAACTGATGGAAAAATAGGAGCAGAGGCATGGATACATGGACAGACTGACAGTCATCGGGGAGGTGGGAGGGGAGCCTGGGTGAAAGAAGGTGAAGGGATTAGCCAAAAAACATACTTGCATGACCCATAGATGCAGGCAAGAGTGTGGTGATGGCATAGAAGTATTAATTGCCTGATTAGTCCTCAGGCTTCAAATTCTTATGGAATCCCCGTGCATCCATACATAATTTGGTTATTTTCTCCTGCTAATCTGTCTTATGTCTCTTAAATTATCAGCCAGCCAGAAGAACTTAGGGGAAAGTGGACTCCCCCACAGTATATACCAAAACTTCACAGTCCTCTGAGTTTCTGAATGAAATCACTCCGCATGCTCAGGTGACCCATAACTATGTTGTCCAGTTCTACTTGACTCCATCTTCTGAGCACCAATCCTCAAGTTTCCCTCCTCAGTTCAAACACACTCACCTCTATTATAGTGATCAGTGCTGCTACTTTTTTCACATTTTTAAATATATTTTACATTACTGAAATGAACAATTTTAGATTACTGTTCTTCACCTGTTTATCTTATAGAATTTCACAAATTTTCCCTCATACGCATTCTTCCATCTTTTCCTAATATGCTTAAAAAAAACAACCAAGAATTAGAATCAACAGAGCTTGCATTTCTCTGCCTGGCCATCACTGGCACAGGTGCCCCAAAGCCAGGAGATAAAAGTTATCAAAAGAGAAATGATTGATGGGAAAGGTAGGCCATCCATCAGTAATCACAGCAACAGAGGCCCATGTATCAGCCATCTTTCATGTGGGTTTTTCCAAAAATCAGTGTTTAACTCTAAGCTAATGCTTCTGCCAAATCATTTATTTGGCTGTTGATTTGATAAAGCCACCCTGAGACTTTTCCTCTAGAGTATAAATCATTCAAGCAACTGGGCACCTAACACTACTGAAGGTCTAAGGTCCGAAGTCTTGCCTTCAAAGCCTGCAATGAGAGAGGCTCCCCTCCTGCTTACCTTTTTCGTTTTAAAGCCTAATTAGCTCTTTGTGGCACCCAGCCAAACAAAGAGACTCTCTTAAATAGTTTAAATATTTTGATGATCTTAACTCTGAGAAGATTGCAAAGACCATCCTTGAGAACTAACTGAACTAGATAAACTCTGTGCAGGTGAATTTTAGTGCTTTCTGACCGACACGATACTTAGGATTCCTGTAACAGTGGTTTTCCCTGGGAGACTGCTTCCTCATGACTGTAAGTTTAATTTTGTAGGAGGCAGAGTATAATGAACTTTTGGGTTTATTTAGTAGTCATTATAACTCCCCGGATCGACTCATTCTCCCTCCCAAAAAAAGAAGCGATGGATAACAATTCGTGATATTAAACATCTTTTGTAGGTATTGGGTAGGTTTCATCATCTTTCTTTCCCACTATTGGAAGTTAATTTTTAACCAAGGGTGGTGGGAAGTGATGGCTGTCAGAATTAGTTGGAACTCATTTCAAAACTCTCCATCTGTCAGTAGTTTAGCATCATTGCTCATAGGCCCAAGATGATACAGTTGATTGCAAAGAAATGACATTTCCAGGTGAAATCCATTTACAAAAGCAAACTAATTCCCAGCAATGACCTTAATGACCATTAGAGAAAGTCCCTTACCAACCAAAAGTGAGCTACAAGGGGAAGATGAATGCAATCACTCATTTGGAATATACTAGATACAAAATTTTTTTACTTTTTCCCTAATTCATTTAATGCTCATTTAGAAATACACACCCAAAAGGACTTGATATTTAATTCCTTTATAAACTGTAAACACATCACAGTGGTATTTGGAGATCTTACAGACTTTGTCTGTAAACAGAAGTTGCTTCAAGGCATATTCCAGATAGTTGCTGGTGCAAAATTTTAGCTGCTTAACAAGTTCTTCAAATGGATGCCAATAATTTTGAACATTTGGATAACAAAAGTGTGTTCAGTATAGTGAATGTGATAAATGTTTACC